CCCTGAACAATCATTTCTTGTTATATTTCAATAAATTTATAGTCTGCCATAATTATTTCATTCATATCACCGTTAAAAGTTTCAGTAAGATTGATTCATTCGATGACATCAACCAATGATCAATGATAGATCGTTGTTTGATGCAATGGACATCACTGACCTCTCCGAATAGTTTATTTTAATTCAATTGTTGTTTTATGAATTGCTATACCGTTGTTATGCGAAAAATGGGTAACAATAGGTCGATAATGAGGCCGACTATTATTATAACACACTCTCGTGCGAAGGGATCATTGCGCAGCATGTGGTAAAGGTAGAAGGTACGGAGTGTGTCCCATTGTTGCCAGCCATCAAATTCATTCATTGTAATGAAATTTTTTTTCATTTTTTTTTTTGTAATCAAACTTTTTGCTTACATAAATGTATTTCAGATTAGAGTATAACATTTCACTCTCTTAAATTACACTCACATTTCAATGCAATCATTTAGTCATAATTTACAAAAGCAATTAAATTGCTTCCATTTTCAAAATTTAAATTTAAAAGAGATTGAATTAACAATATTAATTAAATTCTATCTATATCGCATTCTATATCTTTCATGAAATATATTAAATATAAATTTAGACTTTAGATTATATTTTCCTTAATAAATTTAGACTTTAGATTATATTTTCCTTAATTACTTGTTAGTTTCAAATCACTGATTAATTTTATCAAAACATCGAATGGTATTAAATACTATTTTAATTGATAGCTTTTATATTTCAATATAAAAATGCTGTTTCAAAACTTCAGCATTTTCTATACATTTTCAAGAGATGGAAAAGCAGATTTTTAAAATTTTATATCCCAAATACGTCCTTACTTTAATGGAATATTAATGATGCTAATATTTGCATGAAAAATTGCTGAATATTTACTCAATAAAAGCTGAAATGAATTGATTCGAAAATTAATCCAACAAATTCATCGACTATTTAAATGATTCTATTCAGAGTATCATTAATTCGTCTATCATTTAAACAGCGATCAGAATGAGAGACAGTAAGGAAAACAATTTATGTTAGGCTCATAATTAGTAAGTTGCGTCATTTCTGATCGAACCTTATCGTTCCTCTTGCAACAATACGTTTCACAAAATTATTTCCCTCTTCTCTCCTCTCTAACCAAATTTGCAGTCAAAAATTTGAATAATTACAGATATAAAAAAAGAAACATTTATAGTGCACTGTGCAATTTACGTGATATAACTGCGTATTACGTAATTTAGCATTATACGAAATAATGCTACATTGAATGCAAGCATCTGCAGTATTTTTTCCACTAATTTATTTATTACTTATTTCATTTAACACCTCAAGAATAAAAGAAAGAAAGAAGGAAAACGATGTTATCATAATCGGTTCAAACTATTACAACAAAAAAGAAACATTTCTAATTTAGGCAAAAAATAAATTTTTAATAAAATAATTAATTTTCTACATTAAAATATTATTACTGAAAACATTTCATTACGAAAAACTGTGCTTCATAAAAGAGTATTGGTTAAATATGGAAAATACTTAAAAGCAATTTATATGATTTATTTTTAAGTTTCCAAGTGATTATGCATTTTTGGTAATTGCAGAAAATTTTATGCAGTGTTTGCTGATTGGAAAATTGTCTGTTGTTAATCAAATGTTTCTCGGGATTAAAATATCGTCAAGATGATGAAAATGTAAAAATGCTGTCTTACTGGGTACGATTGAAAATAAGATTTAGCATAGCGCACACCTGCGATATATACTATTATTATAATTATAATGTTTATAAGAAGATATGCGCCAAAAATAGTACATAAAAATAATTAACATAATCAGTTGGCTAATGTGATTTGGTGATCATTGTTGAGTTGTTCTCTGTTTTTCTTGAAAATTTCAAAATTTTTTTAATTTTCATCTTTAAAGTTTTTCAACGAAGTCTAATTTTGTTGCTTACAAATTCAACCCAATTATGATTGTGATAAAAAGAAAGTACAGATCAAAAGAATGACGAATTAGCAAAGGTGAAAGGGCATAAGTGATGATAGGAAATTAACGAAATTAAGGTCGAAAGCATAAAACTTAGTTTAATTAAACATCAAAGTTTTGCTTTTTATTAATTAATCCATTATTAGTAAATATCAAAGCAATCTTTTCTCTTTCTTTTTCCTTTTCTCCTAAATAAGAGGAGAAGTAAAATTTTCAGCCTTATGATTTGTTGAAAATCACGTCATTACTCATAACTCGTTACTTATTAACTGTCTTGTAAGCAATGAGTCATACATTAGTTAGCCTCATTCATCAAATATACATTCTATCATTCGTGATTGAACCTCGCATTAATCCTGCTTGATCATTCATGTGTCATCATCGTATTTTCACAATCGACCCTTTGACCTTTTAATTTTCTGCATAAAATTAGAATTTTGATATTTCACATATTTGATCCTTTGAATTTTTCAATCATTATATATTCATATCATGGAGTCGACGAAATATTATCAGCTAAACATCATGTAAAATATTTTTTCACCAACACTGTTTTTTTTTTTATAGTTTGAATTTTGAAATTCTAGAATGCCTTTTTTCTTGTCTATAAACAATCAAATTACATCATTTCAATTTTCATTTCTTTCCAAAAAAGTTTAAATTTCAAACTTCGGAATGAAAAGAGAATTTTGAAAAGTAAACAGAATAATAACATAAAAATGTCACTCACAAGAAACAATTGAACTATATGTCGTGCCAAATTATACCATTCAGTTTGATTGATGTTTTTCACTTGCACTTCTTTGCATTTTCCCTTTCTTCCAAAAAAAGTAATACTAATGATTGCAAATACAAAGCTCATTAGTGCCGTACTCAATGTCACCTGTGCTATGATTTTGTTAAATTTCTATAAAAATTTTGAAAACATTATAAAATTTCGTTTTTTTAACCTTTCGATATTTAAATTTCCACAATTTTTAAAAAAAAGTTATAAGATTTTCTCATTTACCGAAAATAGTGTACCTGTGAAAAGTGTAATATGTGTGTAACGTTAGCAAAATTTTTTTGTTTAAATTTTATTCAATGATCGAGTTTAAATTTATAAACCAAAGAAAAACTAAGTGAAACACTTACATCATTTACAAGTGAGAATTGTAATAAGGCGAAGGTTACAAAACTGAGAAATGTTGCAAATTTATATTAAGATTATCAAAGATAACAAGAAGTCGATAATTACAATTTCTTTTTAAGTTCTAGTATCAAAAATTTTACAAAGAATATTTCAACTTGCTAAATAATTATTTTTAAAGTGACTAGTTGTCTCTGTCACCAAGACTTTATTTCTACTAATAATTAATTAAAGTTAATTAGCTGAGCTCATACTTAATACAAATCGTTTTTTTTATCTTTTTAGATTTTTCATTAATCTAAAACTAAAAAGATTGCTTATTTTTAAAATTTTAATATTTCACATTTTTTGAAATTTTCAAATTTGCAGCGTATTGACTTGGTTTTATAAATTAGCAAGCATATCAATTATCATAATACGTAATCAGTTCGTTGAAACCGTGTAATCTCGGTGAAACTTAAGGAGGATGACGAATAAGAAGATGTACTCAATGATTCATTTTCAGATTTCACCACCGCATTATTGGGATTAAATGAGGTTGATGATTTATAATAAAGCGAAGAATTATTAGCATAAGGAAGTTGATAGTAAAGAGGTTCAGCATTGCAATCAAATTGACAGGTACCAGTAGTTTGATCTGGCAGAGGATAATGATTTTCTTCCGAGAAGCATGGACTATCGTGACAGTTTCGCGGTTCTTGACTGGTATTCAAAGGTTCAAATGGTTTATCGCAGGTACCTTGCAACAGATCTTGCAAATGCTTAATATACCGGGCTGCTTCACGAAGTGTTTCCACTTTACTCAATTTCTTACTGGTTGCTGAATGTGGTACCCGATCACGAAGGTGTATGAATCCAAGATTTACCTAAAGTACTGATGATTTGCCTATTTATTGATAGTTTTAAAATCAATATTTGTTCACTTACAATTAGTTCTAAATTTCTTTTTTTTTTTTAAATCCATAATCTCTGAAAATTCATTGTTATATTATGCGCAAGCATTTGATGGAATAAGCAATGCAATTATTTTAATCAGTAAAATTAAGAATTAATTTTAAAAATATAGACATATGGAATAGAAAATAAAAAAGTATGCAGGAGAAGTTGTAAAATAAAAATTGATTAAAGAAGAAATCTGACCTGTTGAACACGTTTTCTTTCTCGTTCATTTCTCCTAAGAACTTGATGTGGTAATTTTGTTGCTGCACCACCACCTTTTGACTTTCTTAGTCGTATCCGACTTGTAGGATTACTACTAGTAGCAGTATTAGACATTGTGTTGAAGGCATTTCTCATTCTCATTTAAAGTACCTATATGGTACTTAATAACAGTTAAATAGGAATCGAAATTTAATAACAGTTTTGATTGATAATAACAGGAAAAGGAAAGTCTGAAATAATAAAAGCAAGATGAGTTCAAAAAAATGCAATGATATTTTGAACTTTTTTATTTAGATTATTAATTTGCTGTACTATCTAACAGTTTCTTTTTTATATTTTGACCATCAAAGTCAGTAAAATATTTGCTGATTTCGAATATTTTTCAATTATCAAATAGAATTAAATTCATCAAATAACCGATTGAAAAGGTTTATTCGTAAAACTTTGTTATTATGCTTACATACATGCATGTATGTAAATTAATTTAATTAACTGAGAAAAAATGTGTTGATTTTCTAATAACGAATATGATGAAAAGAATTGAAATTACATCTGCTATAAATTATAGAAAATATTAATTGCATTTGAATTTTTTACATGAGTGTTTTGTAAAATTAAGCTATTAAATTTAAAACAGGTCAAAGAATTAGGAAACTAAAAAACTAAGGTAAGTAATGGATAGATAATAAAGGAGTAAATGGAGAGAAAACCATTCCATGAAAGGCTTCATGGAAAGATGACCGGTGGTGATTGCAAGTGGCGCAGTTTGGAAAGCAACCACGCCCCTACCGTTCGTGTACCCTTTGATGGATTACCATATGCAAACGCCTCCGAATGCTTTTCACTCCCACACAACAAATTCAACCATTTGTTTATTTATATTTGCTTGAAGGCAATAAAATATCTACAACAATATATTTTTAAACTTTTAAAATGGAAAATTTTTCACCAATGATCATTAAACTCCTACCAAAAAATGCCTTCTCATTTGATTGAATAGAACAAAATGAAATTAAAATTTCATGTATTCTTAGAAACATGCTGAAATAAGTGTTATCAAAGGTAAAATATATTCCAAACATATATAAAATATAGCAAATATATATAAAAATATAAGCAAAAAGTACCTTGATCTTTTTTTCTCATTTTCATGCTGTATTATTTAAAATTTTTGTTTAGACATTTGAAAATTGTGCAGGAATCGCATGAAACTGATTCCCAATTATCTTTGAAATAAATTTAGAGAGTAAAAAAGAGTAGTGAAATTAGCTTATTCGAATATTTCCACTGATTGTCATTAAACTCATCAAATGCTTTATCATTTAATCAAATAGAAAAAAATAAAATTGAAATTTTTTTGTGCATTCTTGAAAGATGCTAAAATAATAACAAATATTAATTATTATAATTTATTTATTTGGTAGAAGGAAGATGAGTCATAAGAAAAGACTAAGCCAAAAGCAAAAATTCTTTTCTTTTCTTAAACTATGAATCATAAAAAGCTTAGACACAATTGCAGTAATTTTTTTCCATTTTTCTTTCCCGATCGAGCATCATTTCAAATAAATCACACACGTTTATTGTCTTTCCCTCGCGATTTCATAGGCTGTAATTTGCATAGCAATTTCATTTTTGTCATGATCATCATGCAGAAGATTTCATGCAAGCCTAAATCTACTCCAAATTGGTCAAGTAATTCAGTTGAATTCAGAATGCTTGAAAAAGCATTGGAAGAAAGAGATTAATTGAGAAAGATTATCATATCAAATCATATTTTTATTTCTTATTTACATTATCTCCTTTTTTTAAGTAACTAATTCCGAATTTATCATACTCGTACCTAATAACAACGACATCATGAATAAATATTTGTTGATTTTGTTACTGCTTACTGATAAACTTGAAGTAGCCAATTAAATTAAATTGAAATTACAATGAATTTAATTGTAGTGTTATTCTATAACATTTATTATAAAGAATGCTTGCAGAAAGTCGCTGAAATGTTTCAATTGAAATCATTTTAACTTAGCATTTGCTAATGATTGTAGTTCACTGTGCAACAAATGAATTGAATTTTACGAAATAATGAATAACTTCATAGTTGGAAGAAATGGGCAGATGTCATCCTGATTACTGACAGATTTGAAGCGCAACAGGGTAGGTACACTGTCATCCGAATAACAATGATCGTATTTGCCAACAAAATTGAACGATCTATTCATAATAAATTTTCTTTACAACTATGTTAAACCACTTATCCCAACTGAAATAAATTAATTTTTAAAAGTAAGTGACCAGTATATGAAACAGTTAACGGTCAACCTGGTCAGTGTCTCTTTTAAAGATGATTGATCAATGTCGGTTCTAAAAATGATCGATTAGATGAAAAATTAATTTTTGACTAAACAATAGTAGAATTATCAAAAATTTTGATCTACATGATTAAACAAAATATTTGTCAAAATATAAGTAATGTTAATTTTTTCTGATGAAAATATTTTTTTTAAGTTTTACATTGTTTATTCAGAAGTTTTTTTTTTAGCTATTGAGAAATAAATCAGATTACTTGAGAAGTAGACGAATTAATCGAGTATTAATTATTAATTAACAAGGAAAACATACAGTAATGCAGAAAGCGTTTTTCGAATTTCATACACAATTAAACCTAATTTCATCTTTCTTTTGCATTTTATCATTTACCTTTATTTCAAATTTTGCAAAAACTCAATTTGTAGTGAAATTTGCATGAATTGTTTATAAATGAAAACGATTTATCTCCTAGCTCCATTCCGTACCACAGCATAATTCAATAAAGAAACTGTAGATGTATGCATAAATGTATTTTCAAACATCTGCAGATTTGAAAATTTTGTTCAAAAAAAAAAAGAAAAACCAGTTCGTTTAGATGGTGTGCTAAGAAAGAAAGAAGAAAAAGGTACTCGATTGGACAATATGTCACTTATAAAACAATGTAAATCTTCACACTTTCCACAAAACCACAATCATTACTCAAACCAATTATTCTCATTATTTACTTTAAAATTGCTTTCAATTTTAATCACATTAATTTTACAATTCACATTTGTTATTTTCAATCGTAATGATATTTAAAATTTTGCAAAATTCAAAATTCCAAAAAAAAAGCAGCAACAAGGAGTGTGATAGACAGATCAGTTTAATCCATTTATTTTTAGAATTTTTTTACAAATATTTTTGGCTTCAAAAAAAATTTATTATATCTATACATTCATTGTAAAATAATTAATAAAAGTAAAAATGAGTTAGGAAGAAGTATTGTTGAATTTAGAGGAAAATATTTTTTTTTGCAAGGATTTCAATTGATTATTTCTTTTCCACTTATGCTTTTTTTTTGTTGGTCACGTGCCGAAAAAAGGTTTACCAAAGTCAAAGGGTGCCGCAACAGGTTATCGAAACAATTTCAATTCTCATCATCCGTGACGAACGCTTTTGCAATCCACGATGGGTTTTTCTAAGATGGGTTTAATCAAGGAATAAACAATTCTTCACTAAAAAATTACTATTTTACAAGGAATTATATATGTCTTATGTGCTATTAATTTGGCGAAAGTTAGAATTAAAATTTTACAATCAATGATAATTTAAGCCGTAAATACTTTTAACAGATAATTATTACCAGAATAATTATTAGAAAATAGTACTGTTTGTAATTATGGTTCATAGCCAAGACAATAGTAAGTAATAATATTAAAAAATTTTGATATATTAAGATATGTCAATTTTGATATATTAAGCTTTAATTTCAACCGCATTTATAAAAATCACACAGTAACATGGCAAATTTAATTTCAACAAAACAATCCGCTAATTTTACATATAACAAATGTCTTAACCTTTTAACTTATACGATATTTTTCAAATAAAATAAAGAAAAAATAAAAAGCAATTGGTGAATAAAATGAACTTCCTAATGGCAATTATTAGAAGCAACAATGTCCTCAACGATGAAAACGTAATTACAAGCATTTATGATGGAAATATATATGCGATATTGGTTGTTAGGGCTCTCCCGATCATATTACACAGCAGCAACCGACGATAACGAAATGGCGGCAATTAAAATCTCGGATAAACGATCGAAGCTTAATCATCCACAAAATTATCCGTAAGATGGATATGCATTCGATATAAAGAAAATGAAAGCTAACAACTAAGAAATAAAAATATACTTAAGGTTAGAATATCTTTTTTAAATAATATTTTTTTTCTGCAATAAATACAAATGAGCAAAATTTTATCCTACTATTAAAGTAGTTTTATTAACTAACTTATTTTATCAAAATTTATTTGCAGAAAAAAAAAATTCAAAATGTCAGCAAATTTTTTTGTTAAAATTTAAATACATGCTGTTCATTGATGGAATAACTTCAAAATTTGTTAAAATTTTTTCTTCATTCTTACTTCAATAAATTTGCAAAATATTTCAAGATATATGCAAATTAATCGGTCATCAATGAAAATTGCTCACATTCATTGATGCTATCAATCGATCAATACATAATCAGCATGGAATTGTTAATGAATGTGTTCCACCTCGTTAACAAGTCGTAAATTTTGAGTGAATGAGCGCCAAAATATTGTCTACTTATTGTACCAAATGTCAATTAATGAATAATTGAAATGAATAATAAATATGGTAAAGTATTGACGAGCGCAGCAGTCTCTTGAATAAATTATAAAATTAATTTTGATCAAAATTTACAATTGCCATGCAATAATTTACTTCATAAACTTTAACCATTCTACATAAATAACATATTTCTCGCAAGAAAGGGGAAAGAAGAGAGAATACATTAAATTTTACAATTTCAAGTTGCATTATGAAAAACTGTAAGTAGTAAATTTTAAATGATAAATGTTCAATTATGAATTGTAACCGATAATTCAAAAGTGTCTCTTTTTTTAAGCAGTTTTCTATGATGATATTTGATTTGTGGTGTTCCATATGTAAAATCGTTATGATGGGAAATATTTGGAATCACCTGTGGATTAAGCATGCTATTTGGCGGGAAAATTTACGAAAGGTCAACGAGGTCAAACTGTTCTTTGTTTGCTATCATAATTAGATGGCTAAA